ACGGCTTCGTTGCTTTTGTTTTTACTGCTCAGTGCCTCCACGAACAACTGACTCGATGACAAGAAGACTAGAAACTACAAAGCTGGTGATGTCGACAACTAATAAACCAATAATACATGGTGACCATAGCAAAGATGGTAAGAAAAAAAGTCACGGTTATTCCTTTCCCTTTAAATATTGAAAAGAGCTTTGCTTTTGTTTTCTCCTCAAACCAACATTTGCCTGCATTATAACTGTACATTCAGGGTCACGTTCTCCATGCTATTATGTCACACTCTCATCAGTTTCCTTCGATTACCAAAGCCTCGATGACAGATTAGAGCGAGGTTAGGGCGAAATTTAAGTGAAGTGCATCTTCCAAACAAAATACCGCTGACCGACAAGGAATATAGCCTATTCTCCTTATTTCTGTTTGTTTTACTCCTACAAGAAATTTCCAATGATGCTAATGAACGCGACAGCCATCAGAAAGAAGATAATGGACACGATGACTTACGACCCTATCATGTTCTTAAAAATAATTTGTACAAGCATCACCATCACCTTAACAAAGGTAAGACTGATATTCAAACTTCAAAGCAGTTCATAATTTAACTTAACATTATCGATCCCTAGCCCTACGAAGGTTTTAATTCTTTGTTTTATTTCTGAATTATCAGTTGAAGGTATGCAGTGTCCTGCCAGACGATATGGCTGTCAACACTACTGTGTTCATCTGCCTGATGGAGGCCATCGCTGCATGTGTCACCATGGTTACAGTTTGGCGCCAAATGGAAGATATTGTGAAGGTATGTACTAAATTTTCCTTTTCAACGTAAGCAAGTGTTTTTAAACCTACTATAGCACTAAAAGAAATTTGGATTTAACTCTTTAAGCTTTCATTTTCTGATCCTTTCATAACAATACTGAGAAGGCCAGCTGTAAGCGCAAAACAAATCAATTTAACAAATAATTGTGTGCTACGTTCTCTGCAGGACTAAAACGGAGATTTAAAACGTAATAACGAAAGGGTGTTTGAAGAAAATACTAGACGTCTCTGCAGGCAGGCTATTTAACGCAAGATCCCACGTTTAAAACTGAGAATCACGATTATTTTATTGACGTAACTTATTATTCACGCCTTCCTCTTCGTTGCTTAGACGTTGACGAATGTACTGACGACACGCATGGCTGTGAACATGACTGCATTAATAATGACGGTAGCTACCGGTGTGAGTGCCGCAGTGGATTTATGCTGAGCAAAGACCGTAGACACTGCGACGGTAAATAGAACCGACAACGACTTTAATGCTTTCCTCTTGACTATCATGAGAAGTTTTTTAGCTTGGTTTTAACTTGGTTTCGAGTGGTCTTTTTTGCGTACCAAAAAGTCCTTTTTGCGTTGTGTCTGCCCGGCCTGGGAAAACCTTCTACATGAAAACTTCCTTTCATTTACAAGCAAACCAAACTTATTTTTACTCGAAACGATCGGCACAGTACTAGTGCTGCGTTTTTGAATCAGAATCAAAGGTAACTCTGCTTGTAAGACAACCATTTGGACTAAACATCTATTAACAACGGGACACCATCATGACCTGTTAACTTGTTTGTTCAATGCTGGGCGTCTATTGTTTTGATAATATTATTTTGATTGTGATCGTGATTTCAATCGCTTTTTCTTTATTTTAGTCGTTGAGAAACTCACCACAGCCCATATTTAAGTCATTGAAATTTATTCGTGGTCTTGTTTTTTGTCTATTTATTTGTTTAGATCTTGACGAGTGCACCATGGAAGTTCACAGCTGTTCTCACATGTGCCATAACACTCCTGGCAGCTACACATGTTCATGTAAAGAAGGTTATCAACTCCAGGCTGATGAGCTACATTGTATAGGTAAGAAGACAGATCAGTGAATTTATTTTACCGAGTCTCACTCATCTGGTCTATAACTGGCGTCAAACCATCTTGGCTTTCTCGTGGTGACTACCCTTTTTCCCTTTCGTAACTTTCTCAACAAGATATCAAAGGGAAAATAAAACTCTTAGGTGCACTGCATTGAACATTTCTTTTCTATAAATTTCGAGATCACACATACCATTAGTTACTCAGTTTAGCCGCCAATAACTTTCGTTGTCATAAATTTATAGATTTACTCGGTTGTAATTGTCATGTACTTGTTTCTGTGTGCGTGTATTTATTTATTTATTTATTTTTTTATTTTTTTTTTTTTCAGTCATCACAGAGGTGGGATCTAAGAAGGATCAAGATCATCCGTCTGTAGCCGGATTAGAAAGTAAGTGTGTTCACGGCTGAGATCATTGTCCAGTTTCTCTTTATAGTATCAATACATTGTCAAACAAAAAGGTTAGGAGAATGATATAAACTATCAGCCATGGAATAGTGTTGATCAGTGGCCTGTCTGAAACATCGAATTTGAGGAAGTGGGCAGATTTAGCAGGGTAGTGTACAAATATATGATTGAAACAAAGCTGCGTGCAAACCAGTCAGTAACGGAAAATGATGTCTTAGACTTTGAAATTGCAACGAACAACATCGATCGCTGCTCCATTATAAGTCACCATTAATCGGTGGAAAATTGGATTTTTCTTAAGAGATCATTACAACTGAATCGGTTTTTCTAATTTTCAATCCACTAGTTCCTACAACAATAACCCAAGCCCCTAAAGATGTAACGGTAACGCAGGGTGAATCCGGGATCTTTCATTGCAAGGCGAGAGGTCATCCAGCACCTCATATCGCTTGGGCAGCAGGGCCAAACGGTGACCAACCCATCCCCTCTGAGAAGAGGTTCAAGATCTTACCTAGTGGCTCCTTGGTAATTGGTCACGTGAATTTTACAGATCAAGGCATGTATCGTTGCGTTGCGTCGAATCCTGCGGGCAGTGCTACGGCAGCAGCAACTCTTAGTGTGACAGGTAAGGAACCGGTAAAACTGGTTACGAAAATCTGGTGCGAACCAGACAAGCTCCTTTAAGAGAGGAAGCTTCAGATGTGAGTGCCATTCTGGATTCATGTTAAACAGAGACAGGAAGAGCTGTCAAGGTAATACAACGTTACAATTTTTGAATGTTTGCACTTTTCGACTGTTTGTGAGTAACACAGTAGCTTGATCGTGGAGGCGCAGAGGCCTCGTGGTTAGTGAGCTCGCCTCCGGTCTTAGCCGGGGACACTGTGTTGTGTTCTTGGGCATCTCTCCACCCATGTGTTCAAACGGGTACCGGCGAATTTAATGCTGAGGGGTAACGCTGCGATGGACTAGCATCCCATCCAGGGGGGAGTAGAAATACTCCTAGTCGCTTCATACTACAGAACCCGGGATAAGCTCCAGCCAGATGGGCCACCTGGCTCGTATGCAGACTTTACCCATCTTTTTACCTTACAGTAGCTTGATGTCTAGTGCGTTATAGTACGCATCGAGCGGGTCGACTTCAAGCCCATCACTAACTCTCTTCACTCATTTGATTATTTTCATCCGTTGTGTTTTCAGATGTAGATGAGTGCACAGTCGGTAGCCATTTTTGTGATGATATTTGTCATAACACGCTGGGTAGCTTCACCTGTCATTGCAAATCAGGATACAGACTAATGGCTGACCTCAAAACATGTCTAGGTAATGAAACCAGTTTATTTTCTACGCTGTCGATAATTACAATTCAGTTCTGTATTTGGGTTAGGGTTCGGATTTGGCTGTCCAGAATTTATTTTATATGAAAGAAAGAAGGACAACAAAGTGGGGAAAATTATTAGTGAGCGTTCTCCACCTTTGTCCTTGTTCGACCACTTTTAGCTATGCGAAAAATTAAAGGTAATAACATTTAACAAAATAAAAATTTTAAACTTTGTTGAACTATACTAAATCCTTGGCGATGTTTGCTGTTCTTAACTCTTTACTGTCTCAGACTAGCCTTGTTTTTTTAGGGTTAAATATGCCGGACTGTACAACCAACCTTAAATTTTGTGCTCTCTAAATACCGGAAATCAGGGAATCTTATCTTTTAATGGATTATTTGTCCTTATTGTTCAGATGTCGACGAGTGCACAGAGCCTGGCCATGGCTGTTCGCAGCTGTGTAATAATACGATGGGAGGTTACAATTGTTACTGCCTGAGGGGCTACTGGCTGAAAAAAGACAACAAAACATGCGCGGGTAAGTTCGGCAAACTTTCGTACAGTTTCTTTTCCGGCAGTTTGTACGTGAATTTCCTTCGAGTACAATGATCATGAATTTGTAATGTTCACAAGAAAGCAAAAGTGTTTATGCCATTAGCTAAAGATAAATATTTCCTTTCTTTCAGATCATCACGTCATGTTAGACAGCTCCAAACCGACCACACTCTCAGCTGGCATGGTAGCGTTCGTGGCGATTGCGTCTGTCAGTGTGTTGATCGTTATCGGTACTGTGGTATGCGTAATTCGTTACAGAAGGAGTGCACGGTTAAGAGACAGTGACATGCTAGAGGTAAAGAAAATTACCTTTAAGCGTTGTTAAAGCTATAAAAGAATAATTTTGCTTGAAACTTTTTTCATATGAAATCTTGTCGTTCGGCAGCTACTCGCAAAAGATAAAAATAAATTTTGGCAACTTTCAAGATAAGTTTTGTTGGTTTTCTAAACGTTTTTAGCCAACCAAAAAGCAACAGCTGCACGTGCAATTCATCGACTTGTCACTATCATTAATGTCTCTGTTAACTTTGATTGGTGGAGTAATGGAAAGCCAACATAAAGATCTCATAGACCTTATAGCGTAGTTTATTGTACTGTTTTTATGAGCCCAGTTCACGGAGAGAAGCAGATTTAAACGAATTCATGGCTAAAACTTGTAGCGTGAGTTAAACAAGTTTTGTTTTGGTTTTTTGATAGGGGGAAAAGAAATCCTTGTTCTCTTGGATGGAGTGACATGTTCTGGTCTTTTTAAGACTTGTTGTGACGTGTTTGTTTTATTTTTTTATCATGTTATTGCTGATGAAATAACCGAATGAAATTGAATGGAAAGCTGAACTTCTCGGTGAAGAAAATTTATTTTTGTAATAGAGTTTTGTATTTACTTTTTTAACTAGTTTAAAAACTGTTTTTTAATAAAATTATATTTCAAACAACAGAGGTTTTTACTTTTACTTAGTTTGACACCTGTTTTCTTTTCTTTGTTTTTGTTTTGTTTTGTTTTGTTTTGTTTTGTTTTGTTTTGTTTTGTTTTGTTTTTCATTTCTGTCAAGTCCTTGTGATACGCTTAAGTGCTCCTTGCTACACCAGGTTTGGGGGGGGGGGGGGGGGGGGGGTTACCAACTCTCAATATTTGTGAATTACGTAACTGCCCTTAAGCCATCTCAAACTCTTAAATCCGATCAATCTAATTCCTCAATAACGTATATGTTATCCAAGGCCGATGTCTCTTAAGTCTGATATCAAAGGACAACAATAACTTGATTGAATATATTCGCGTGGAAATGGAATTATAGTTTACTGTTGTTTAGTATGATGGAGTGGCGCATTGACACTCAGTGACGTCCCACCGACAGCTGACCGGCATCAGTTATGGCGCAAAAAAATGCGCCAATATTACGCCATTGTTATGCATTGGCAACATACATGCGTGCGTGTGGGCCAAATTTGTGAATATGGCGCGAAAACGTTTGAAATAACACACGTGTCTCAGTTAAGCCACTTGGACAGAGAATCTGGAAAGTAAAAGCTTTACTAAAGGTTTACTCTTTCACTTTAGAGTTTAAAGATGTTTTTCATTTGTGGAATGTAGTTTCACTTTC